AGATGGACAAATGCAAGTCAGACAAAGCGCTAGTCCCCCAGTGATAGAAAGTTTAATTTAGAGACAGATCTGAGAACGACTCACCGAACTAGGGAAACAGCGAGAGCAATTGCAGGTTAAAACGATTTGCACGGTTTTCTTTAGTCCAAGGTGCTGATACTCGTCAAATGTGTCGGGAGCTTGATGAATAAATCGGATGAAGTTTCTTCTTCGCTGTATGTTCGCAGTCACCCCACTCGTTCGTACTCAAGCCCACCCCATCCCACCAGGTCTCTCTCTCTCTCAGAGCTTCTTCTACTTAACCCTCTCTGTCCGCAAGCTCATTCCACCGCCCCCACTAGATAGCTGCTGGGAATTGACACTAAACAAGATATATAAATAAATAGATAAATTAATAAATTAATAAATAAATAAAACAGCAATGGTTGTTCTTGCCTGCCCACTCCCTTGATTCAAAGTTCTATGTGAGAGGCTRAGAGCCCCAGTGGTCCAATCTGACGTTGGATCAAATCCCAAGTCTTACCTTCCGCYTCCCTTTATGCTTGTTCGGTAACKTAYGCTTGATTGCTTGTTCTGGAAGCATAGCTGGGTATACTAACAACGGAAATGCCCAATTCACAGATCAACGACGGCCTYGGTAATCTGAAGAAGTGGCCAACATCAACCTCTATTGATGGCTCTGCAGATGAGAAGTATCCTACTTTCCAACARCGAGATTGCCCGTACAGTTTGTTCACTGAAGAAAYATAGCCCCTGAAAGGAACCGTTTCCRCCAGCAGCGGYGTCACATGTTCGATAGTAAACTGACGTGCATCGTTCCTGCAAATCTCTGATGGTTGTTGTTCTCGTTAGCAGCGGGATTTCATATTGGTAATTCGCCGACCAGCTCTGTCCCCGCTGGCTCCCTYGCCCTTYTTCTCTTACTTCACAGCCTCTTCTTTCTCACTGCGATCTCTCTCTCCTCTTCCACRAATCTCTTCMCMTCTCTCTCTCGTTCATCTCTCCCTGTTACCACTCTCTCTCTCTGCGTTTTCCCCCCTTTTCTCTCACCCGTTCACACTCTGCGAGCGTGTGTGCGCGCATATGGGCGGAACGATTTAGCGTTAATATTGTGAAGAGGCATACGGAGGCATATAACCCGCAGATCTGTCTAGCCTCAATATCAGCATGTAATCTCACTCCTCGGCGTGGACTAAAGCTCAGATGAGGAGTTGCTCACGGTCGCACATCAGTGGAACGGGTGTATCAAGCCCCAGAAACTATAATGTATCTGCCTCATTTTTAAGGGAAGATTAATGCTTYTTTATTACACATCGGCAAAAACGGGCATATCAAGCCCAAAAATCAGAATGTATCCGMCTCTCTTTCAAGGGCAGATTAATGCATCTCTATTGCACGYTGATCGTGCGGACTTTTCGAGCCCAGATATCAGAATGTATTCGCCCCACTTCCAGGGGCTGATTTATGCTTCTCTACTGCGCACAGAGGGTACGGGCTTTTTGAGCCCAGATATCAAAATGTATTTGCCCCACTTTCAGGGGCAGATTTATGCTTCTCTACTGCACACAGATGGTACGGGCATTTCAAGCCCAGATATCAAGATGTATTCGCCGCACTTATTGGGGCAAATTAATACTCGTTTTCTCACACTGAAGAAGCGGGCAGATTACGCCCGAGAAATCGGGATGCATGCGCCCCACTTATTGGGACAGATTGATACTCGCTTTCCCCACGCTGAAGAAACGACAGATTAAGCCCGAGGAAAAAAAAAAAATGCATTCGCCCCACTTAATGGGGCAAATTAATACTCGTTTTCTCACACTGAAAAAGCGGGCAGATTAAGCCCAAGAAATCGGGATGCATACGCCCCACTTATTGGGGCGGATTAATTCCCACTTTTTCACACAGAAGAAGCGGGCAGATTAAGCTCAAAAGATTAGAATGCATTCGCCTCACTTTATAGGGCGGATTAAATGCTCGCTGGTCAAGCAGCAAAATCTCATCCGCTTGGGCGAAGTATCCCCTTACCTCTCACGCACAATCCGCGCGTCCTGCCTCTTACTTAGCCCCATAACAAGGCAATACCCCGTTGACTAGTAGGGGCTACGCACGCCATGCTTGCGAGAAACGAACCGAGAGCGAGCTTGCAGAATCTCTCCCGTGCACATCCCAAACTCTTTCTTCCTCCCCTCTTTACTGTCTGAAGCAGTCCCCTCTGTTACGCTCTCCAATCAAGCCCTTTGACTCAGCGCGACTCGCTAGAAGTGGCCGGTGTACACCTGGCGCACAGTCCGTTTCACTTTTCTCTCCCCCAACGCCTCTTTCCATTCTCCTTTTACCGTTGACCGTCGCCCATGCACGCGCGTCTGAAACGAGCTCCAAATTGGGTTGCGTACACCTAGCATGCTGCGAAAGACTGCTCCCCCTCGTCTGTCCCCCGACTGCCAACTGGTCCTCCCTATATGGGGAATGCTGCACTGGGCATGGGCCTCCGCCAACCAGAGGCCCCCGAGAGCACAAGTACACAGTCCAATATCGTGTGAATTAGAATGGTGCCAGAGCGCCCATGGGAAAAACAGCGTTACAATGGTGCCAGAGCGCCGCGGGAGAAACAACGGTACCAACCCGAAAAGCGGCAACAGTTCCAGCAAGTGTCAACAGGCCCACTCCGCTGTTCCGGCGTCAAACCAGAGAGTACTCAGTCCAACCAGGACCACTTCGGTCTTGAGATTGCAGAGGCATTAAAACTCGGTAGCGGCATCAAGAACCCGAGGCTCGTTACTAAACCAGAGGCACGACATGATTTTGATTAATATAGCCTGCTGTGCCAGCTCCGTATCATTGACCGAACCTGAGAAATAGGAACCACCGTAAATTTTCCGCCCTGGTACCATCATGAGTGTCACCTACGATAGTATCAGAATATCCAAACCAGAAAGCACTATGATGTTCCCGTGCCGTAGCCGAGCCGGATCAGTTATTCCGCGAATCGTACYAGATCAGCGCAGTACCAATTRTCAAGGATAAAATTAATCGACCGGAACCATAGTAACTCATACCACGCCGTTGCCGAACCAACACCGAGTATGAAGATAACGCAGCAGCGTGTACTATCCGAAAAACCRACCCAATCCGAAYCTGATGCATGTCGTTGCCCGACCAATACTGAACATGAAATATGCCAAGTGTCGTAGAACGTCCCAATCCCGTGTTAATATCGAACCTRAGATAACCAATYGGAGTYGCTKTGACCCATATTCCGCCGATGCCTGACCAATATCGAACCAACACCGAACCTGGGGACATGTCAAATGCCGCACAATACCGTGGCCCAGTGACAACTCCAAACCTCTCTCGAACCAGACGTCCGAACCGGRGCAGCGGCCATACCGATGCTRTGAAGCCAGGTKGGATAATCAAAGYAATATGTCGATAACACCACGCCGTCCATCCKCGCCGTACTCATAGCGCACAGGTTGTGGTGAGGCTAGAAATCGGGGTAATCAGGTAAGTCCATTTAACCAATCTCAGTCATCGCCAAAATAGTTAAAATCGCCAGAAGTAAAGTAAATAAACAATCCGGGGCAAATCCGATCGCGAACAAATCGAACAAAATTACTCCAATCATCTAATAATCATGGTTTTCTTCCTTATCATCATTTTTAATTATTTTTCTTATTCCCTATTTTTTTTATCGAGAATAACAAAATAGAGGCAATCCTGCCAAAAATAAATCCCAATGGCATTCAATGAAGCGTCTAAAATTTTTTGTTTTCCTTTTCTTTTTATTGTTTTCGAATCCTTTTCATACATTTTATTCTATTATAAAAAATATCGATAATAGAGGGCGACCCTATTAAAATTCAAATACCGAAGAATTTGAATAAATTGGAAAATATCCCGTTTTTCTCTCCTCTTTTGTTGTCTTTAATTCTTCTTTCCATTTCTAATTTTAATATTAAATTTAATTAAATGTGGGGCTCCTTTCTCGCGTCCATGGCACACCGTAGAAGGGCCTCGTCAAGGCTCATCCCGAGTTAACAGCCCCGCGGCCAGCCGTTTCCGGAACAGGCCTAGAGCGAGCGGAAATGAGGTAGTCCGTAAGGTAACCGTGAGGGCGGCGAAGCGGTAGCCCCCTTCGGCATTTTCTAGGGCTAGTCCTGGCGGTTGACACATCCGAAATTAGGGGTGATCTGACAACCCCTAATTTCTCCCAACCGGTCGGATGAAAACGCCAACCGATTCCTCCTTAGACAAGTTTTCCACAGGTCAATTTCCCGGTATTAGGGCGTCCGACTGGCCCTCGGTCGCCCGACAAACAAGCCCGGACCTCCTCTCGATGCCCCCGTCGAACCTGCTCCGCCAAGATTAGACGAAATGCACCAGATCTAAGTAGACCACTCGCGCTTGACGCAAGTGCCTCCTGCTGTCTGTCTGGCGTTTGGGTTTCTCTGGAACTCTGGGGCTGAGAAGGTGCTTCTTCCCTTTCTTATGTCGCAGCCGTTTGAATCTCATTGTATGAATATTCTTCCCCTTCGTCTTTTGTTGGGGTGCTCGTGTGACAGCTATGCAACTCTTCCTAATGCGGACTCTACGCTTAGGTCTTTGTGAAACAAAAACCCATTTTTTTTTCTTGCCTAGCGTTAAACGCTTCACTTTCCTGGTCTCTACTCTCTTCCTCTTCTTCAAACTCTGACCCACTTCGAACCGTCTTGACGGCCCTCCATCTGCCACCTTAGCTTTCCCTTTTTCCTCTAGGGTCTGATAGCGCTAGCGCAGGAGTTCGGGTCTCTTTCGGCTTAAACAACTTCAGTCTAGCTCCCGCCATCGGATCCTTCCACTTGGACCCATCTAGCTCAGTAATCATATAAGCTCCCCAGCTTAACGCACTAACTACACGATATGGTCCCATCCATCGGTTAGCCAGTTTTTCAGTCCATGTCCTCTCCAGCACGGCGTCATAGAGGAGAGCCATATTGCCGACTTTAATCATTTCTTTTCTGATTCTGAAGTCTTTATCCCATCTCACTTTGCTTTTCTCTCTTTCCACTGCTAGTCGATCAGCAGCGGTCATGAGATTGTTTTCCAGTCCGTAAGCTATCTGTCAAGTCCTGGCTGCCAGTAATTCCTCTCGTGTCATGTTATCTGTCCAGTTAACCGTAGTCCAACTGTCAGCGTGAAACTCTATGGGCAGAGGACAGTGCCTTCCAAACCATAGGGTATAAGGAGGGTAGCCCGTACTAGCTCGGACTGTGACATTGTCGGCCCATATCGCATACCTGAAATACTTCGGTCAGTCACTATCCTTTCCTCTGCACCACTTGGAAAGTGACGCTATCAATGACTGGTGACCCCGCTCTACAGGCGCATTGGACTGAGGGTGATAAGCAGTAGCTATAGACACTCTAGCTCCTGCTTTCTTGAATACACTCTGTACCTCATCTGCTAGGAACTCTGCTCCTCTATCCATCACGATCTTACTGACACACCCGTATCTAGACAGATATTCCAAGACGAAGTTTTTGACTTCTCTCGCGGCCTTCGTTCTGATAGGCTTACCATCGACGAAACCAGTGAAATCATCCCTGATGTTCACTACATAGTTCATGTTCCCTACACCCTTCGGCATCTTCACCAGATCAATATGGACTTTCTCTCCTGGTCTAGTAGGGTATGAAGGGTGAAGCGACTCCTTATATCTGATAAGGGACCTCTTCTGGCAGTCCTCACAAGTTTCGCAGTATTTTTCAACGTCCTTGTACTGTCCTTCCCACCAATATAGTCTGTGAACCTTCTCGTATGTCCCCTTTACTCCTCTATGTCCTCCGACTATATCGTCATGTAACTCGGCTACTATGAACTGTTTCTCCTCTGGGTCACAATTCACCCGAAGAGGCATCCCTGCTCCCACAGGTCGATGAAACAAATGCCCAGCACTAAGGCAGTACTGTGTCGCCTGTCCTCGAATGTCCAAATCAGAGTTTTCTTCTCCTGATAAATGCAGTCCTATAGCGCGGTACTTACCTCCATAAAGATTAACTAGGAAGCGATCCGTTCGTCTAGGCTCGGCCATAGTCAGGGCAGCAACCGATATCAGCCGCTCTGCCTCGATGGGAATTCGCGAAAGTCCATCAGCTACAGTGTTCTTCGCCTCTGAAATCCTCTCTACAGTATAATCATAAAGTCGAATTCTGATCACCGATCGTGCGATCGTAGGATCCGTCAAACTGAAATCCTTTTGTAGGACTGAAGCTACAGTTGTAGGGTCTACCCTAAGAATGAATCGTCTCCCGTATATGTAATGCCTAAAGGTATCTAAGCACCGTAGAACAGCCAACACTTCCTTTTTAAACTGACTGTAGTTACTCTCTGCAGTGTTGAGTGTTCGGCTTTCGAACCTCAATGGCCTTTCCTTGCCATCAGCATCCTTTTGAGAAAGCAATCCCCCAACCGAACACGGTCCGGCGTCCGTAGATACTATGAACGGTCGGTCCGTCTCGTCCTCAAAGAATGACACACCTAGAATTTTGCCCCCTTCTTTAAATTCTTCCTTGAGGAATTGCACTGCAAGTTCTTGAGAAGAATCGCAGTATAATTTCTCAGTCTTCCTAAGAAGTGTGCGTAGAGGCTCTGCCTTTTCCGCATATCCCCGTATGAAGATCCGCCAATAACAAACAATGCCTAAAAACTGGCGAACTTCAGTAACACTGTGCAAAGGAGTCGGCCAATTCAACAACTTCTCCAGCTTACCAGGGTCCGGGCGTCGGCCTTTCGCGTTGCATATAAACCCTAGAATTTTAATCGTCGATACGGCCGATCGGCTCTTTGTCCCGCTAACCGTCAGGTTAACTTCATCTAGCTGCTCCAGGACAGCGTAAATATCCGTCAGGTGTTGCTCAACAAATCTCCTGACGCCTGGGGCGACTTTCGTTTCATCTTTCAGCACCGGTCCTTTTATCGGAAAGTCGTCTAAAAAAACTTCTACTTTATCGGGGATAAAGTCTTTCAGAACAGCTACCATGACTCTCTGAAAAACTGCTACCCCATTAGTCCATCCCATCGAAACGACCATCATATGCACTAATCCGAGCGGCGTGTGCATGGCTGTGAGATGCCTATCTCTCGGATCTAGTGGTATTTCGTCATATCCTGAAAATAAATCGCAGACAGAATAAATGGATCTGCCTGCCGCTCCTTCTGCTAATAGATCAGCATGCGGTACGGAGCCTACATCCTGAATCGTCACCGAGTTGACCTTCTGAAGGTCTTGAATCCACCGAATCTTTCCGTTAGGCTTTCTTAAGAAGAACCATCCGTTCGCATAAGCGCTGCCACAAGGCTCAGCTACGTGTAACGCCATCTTCTCTTTGAGAAAGGAGATCACCTCTTCCTTCTCTTTCTGAGTAAACTTCCACCCTGCGTCATTCCATGGCGTATGCGGAATCGCATAGATCCTTGCAGGCTTAGCATATCTAGGATCAATCCTACCTCTCTCCGGATCACTGAATGCTATAGCTTTGTCGCAGGACTCAAGGACTTCTAATACTCGCTCTTTCTCTGGCTCAGTCAGATTTCTGTCTCCTATATCTATCTCTGCTATCCCTTTTCCGTCATCCGTTGCAGCTCCTTCCTCTTCCTTTCTTTAATCTCTCTAACGATATCTTCTTCAGATACCCCATCCAATGCGGATTGCTCTCGTGCTACGGCCGCCGGCTTAACCTTCTGAGTTACTGTCTTGTGTTTCTTTGGTCGGCCCCCGTAGGGGGCTGTGCCCTTAAAAAAGACACAGATATCATGCCGCCAAACTCCTCATCTGCCTCCTTTGGATACGAGTTGTCATCCACTATCAGGCAACTCCCTAAATCTTCCACTTCTACAATCCGGCCTTCTTCTTCTGAGAGCAGAGGTCCATACTTCTTCTCGCGAAATCGCACCGCGCGGCCGGAGATAGGTAATGACTTAATACGATCACTGGGTCCTGCTTCTACAGCGAGAGCTGCCCTGTTCCTCGGGTCTCGAGGCTCCACCGTTTCAATCATTACCCGTGTCCCATCTAGCTTCTTAATGGACAATGTCTGGCTACCGTCCGGTCGCTCTATAGTCACCGCATGCACATGGCTCAACCACGTCCGTCCTAAGAGTAGGTTTGAGCTGCAATTCTTGACTGCAAAGACTGGTAGGATCACTCGTACCCCTTGGACTTCTATGGCTGCCTTGTGACAAACTTCTGTGATCTGTTGCTTTCTCCCATCAGCCGTCTCTATCTCGAATAAGTATGACCTATCGAGTCCCAGTCCAACTTGCTCTGCCAGATCCTCGTCTATAATGACAGCTTCACTGTCGTTGTCGATCACATCATCTAGGACCGCTTTGTCGTTTAAGATCGCCTCCACGGTCCCACTTCCAAGTATGTAATACTTATCTAGAGGTACACCTTCCATCCCATCAAGAAGGACTGTTGCCATGCGATCTGCTCTGGCGGTCACCTCCGATACTGCTACAGTAGGAGCATCTGCCTTAGGGGCCATTTGAACCTCCTCTGAGAGAGGTATGCGAGTCTTCCGTGTGATCATCTGTAACTCATCGCGAGCTGGCTTGGATGCTGCCAGATATTCCAGAATAGAGCACTGTATGGGCTGCCGAAGAGCCCATCTCAGTGGCTCGACCGTGTCAATCTCATCCAGCGAACTCTTCATCAAGAACTTCTTCACTCCCCCCTTTCGCGGCGAAAGAATAACCTCCTCTCCATCGATCCGCTGTCCGTCATTCTCCGCCATTACGTAATACGTGTCAGTCTTCTTAGATGTAGACCCTCTCGTCGACTTGGTAGCTGCCACCCTTATAGGTGTGGTCGCCATATCTCCTTCGAAGGTTATCTTGATGCTCTGGCTCCTAACCGGGTCCTTCCCTTTACTCGGCTTTACCCTCCTTGCCTCTACATTCTCCTTCATCGAAGGGAACATCGATACGTCTCCCAGGTCATTAGCCCACTTGACGTACTTGCAGTTATCAAGCACGACAAGTCCCTCATCTATTGCCCGTTTGAGATCCGGGCAGTCTCTCTTGATATGATCATCCCCTCTACAGTAGATGCAAGAGTTTCTGGGAGTGGATGGCCTGTCGTCTGCGCTCCTAGAGATCGGACCCCTTGATGCCCTGGGGTCAGGGGACTTCGGATACGGATCAGATGACGCGCCACATCCCCCTCTCTCATCCCGGCCGCACGAATTATTGCGGCGGTTTCCTCCAGGTCCTCCTTGCCCATATCGTCCTCGTGAATCGTTTCAGCGGTCTCTAGAGTCGTATCGCCTGCGTGACTCATCGCGTCGATCTCCTCGGTTGTACCACCCCCGCGAGTCGTCGCGCTGTTCTCTCGGGAATCCCCCGCGGTCATACCAGCCGCGCGAGTCATCTCGTCGGTCTCCGTCTCGATCTCCTCTGTCATATCTGCTGCTCCTGTATCCATCTCGGTCTGTCCTCTCATATCTGTCGTCCTTGTATCCGTCTCGTTGGTCCCGGTCCGACTCCCATCGACCTCGTGGTTCGCTCTTACCCCCATCAGCCTCATATCGAGGGCTGCGTGAGTAATCATCCAGTCTCCTAGCTCGCACATACGTCTCGCGAGCCCTTCGGTCCCGGTCTATATCATCATCCCTACGCCGCCATGGTTCATCGTCTCTCTCTCTTTCTCTCGTACAATAATCAGTCAGCGTTCGAGGATTTCTATCCTCAACACTCCTCCAGGAATCAGTGGACCGTGTCAGTCTTCTTAGATGAAGACTCTCTCGTCGACTTGGTAGCTGCCACCCTTATGGGTGTGGTTGCCATATCTCCTTCGAAGGTTATCTTGATGCTTTGGCTCCTAACCGGCTCCTTTCCTTTACTCGGCTTTACTCTCCTTGCCTCTACATTCTCCTTCATCGAAGGGAACATCGATACGTCTCCCAGGTCATCAGCCCACTTGACGTACTTGCGGTCATCAAGCACGACAAGTCCCTCATCTATTGCCCGTTTCAGATCCGGGCAGTCTCTCTTGATATGATCATCCCCTCTACAGTAGATGCAAGAGTTTCTGGGAGTGGATGACCTGTCGTCTGCGCTCCTAGAGATCAGACCCCTGGCTGCCCTAGGGTCAGGGGACTTCGGATACGGATCAGATGACGCGCCACATCCCCCTCTCTCATTCCGGCCGCACGAATCATTGCGGCGGTCTCCTCCAGGTCCTCCTTGCCCATATCGTCCTCGTGAATCGTTTCAGCGGTCTCCAGAGTCGTATCGCCGCGTGACTCATCGCGTCGATCTCCTCGATTGTACCACCCCCGCGAGTCGTCGCGCTGTTCTCTCGGGAATCCCCCGCGGTCATACCAGCCGCGCGAGTCATCTCGTCGGTCTCCGTCTCGATCNCGGTCATACCAGCCGCGCGAGTCATCTCGTCGGTCTCCGTCTCGATCTCCTCTGTCATATCTGCTGCTCCTGTATCCATCTCGGTCTGTCCTCTCGTATCCGTCGTCCCTGTATCCATCTCGTCGCTCCCGGTCCGACTCCCATCGACCTCTTGGTTCGCTCCTACCCCCATCAGCCTCGTATCGAGGGCTGCGTGAGTAATCATCCAGTCTCCTAGCTCGCCCATACGTCTCGCGAGCCCTTCGGTCCCGGTCTATATCATCATCCCTATGCCGCCATGGCTCATCGTCTCTCTCTCTTTCTCTCGTACGATAATCAGTCAGCGTTCGAGAATTTTTATCCTCGACACTCCTCCAGGAATCAGTGTTCCTCCGGTCCCAGCGAAGTGAATAGGACTCTCCGGGTTTGTTCCGGTAAGTCGTGGCTCCTGTGGTGGTCACAATCTCTGTAACCTGTCTTGTAAATCCCTTTACCATGTCCCTTATCTCCTTCACTTCCTCAGTCACGGCTTCATGCTTTTTCGTCCAGGTATAGTCCTTGAAATCGGGACATCTATCAGTAGCATACTCCTTATAGAGAGAGAAATCACGCCTTCTCATTCCTCTCCATACCAAGTCCTTATAGTCATCTGTCTCTGCCTTTATTGCGAGCTTTAGGACTCCAGGGAAGTCAAGCTTGTCGCGAGGGAGATCTCTGAGTACACTCTTTTGTCTGCCTTTGGACAGGTGTCCAATGAAGATAGTACAACGCTCGACCTCTGAGATCTTCCCCTTCTTCATCAGCACGTCAGAAATCTTTTGGAAACGCTTCCCAAATGCCCGTACGCTCTCATCTTCATCTTGAGTCATAGTTTCAAGGTCCTTGATGGAGTACTTGTTATCCTCCAACTTGTAAAGTTCAGCGAGGTTCTTCTTATACGTGATCCACCTCCCATCCTTCGGTCGGGCTTCCTTAACCTCCTTGCCGAGGCTTGGATCTACATTAAATAGGAAGTTTTCCACAATTTCCTCCTCCGACCACTGACTCCGGCTTGCATGAAGCTCCCACTTCTCCAGATATTCTGTGATGCCATAACCTTTGAAAGTAGGAGGCTTAGAGACCTTGTGCGTAATAATATAGCGATCCTTGCTCTCGTAAGGGAGCGGATGTGACTCCCCCATCTGGGAGTCGAAGACACGTCGGGGTGGTGCTCTATCCCTGTCTCTGTCCCTCCAATAGGAATCTCGCGGATTCTCTCTCCAGTCGTCCCTGCGCCTATCCGCTCGGGTTTCCCTCCGTTTATACTCAGGGGAGCGTCGTGTTGTCGCTTCTCGTCGAACGCTCGAGGACCCAGTCTTCAGACCCTCCTGCGGCTCTGTCATGACCGGCTCGCCCATTACGTCGGACTCTCTGTCATTGGTTTGATCAGACCATCTCAGCGGTGTTCCCTGCCTAATTCGTTCCTTCAGATCTCTCAGTACTCGGTCGGGCGATGTCCTGTACTCCTCATCTGCCTCGGGCATGGTCGGTTGTGGCCCCATCGTGTTTGGTTCCATAGGCTTCCAGAAACTGTAGTCAGGTACAGTCCGGAACTATGACAGTATCCGCAACCTGGACCTATAAAAGTATCCGCAGCCCGGACCTATGAAAGTATCCGCAGCCCGGACCTATGAAAGTATCCGCAGCCCGGACCTATGAAAAGAAAACAATCACTCGTCTACGACCGCTCTCAGGATCGCAACAAGTCTCCCAGCCTCGTCTCGTATCTCGTGCTCACCCTCGATACCTAGAATCCCTGAGTCAAAATAAAGTTCTCCGTCCTGCTCTTCTATGCAACGAACGCCTCTCCTAATCTCTATAACTCCGGATTCTGGTGTCCTTACTCTCCTACAAATTCCTGTCGCGATCCTCCTCAACTCCTCCGGTGCACAAGAAAGCAAACTCCCTCGTAGGTCGACCGATATCCTTCGCGCTAAATCACTCAACCCGTAATGTGCGATTCGAGCTCCTGCGAGTGGGTAATTAATCACTCTCTACGACCATCGAACTTAAAGTATCGAAGTGCTAGGCCAACCACTGCCTCTGCTTCTCCCTTGTACCACCTGACGCGGTACAGGAGGTCTGGGTAACCCATGAAAGAGCGTAATCTGGGTGTTCCATATTACCTCCTTACCTAGCGCTTGGAACCTATCCCGCTTATTTTCAACGACTTCTTCCGCACGCTCCCAGCACCGACCGTTAA